AAACCATTGGGGTTGAGTTGGGGAGGATTTTTTTTTTTATTTTTTAAATAATAGCCACATTTGTTGAACAGGACATGCTGTTCTTCATTTTGTTTTAGTGGCAGGGATGGTCCTTATATTCAGACTTTATATGGCCTGTGTTGCCCAGCTCACAGCAGCAACACCTGCACCAAATTAATGTGTTGTAGCACATTAATTATCTCATAGCCTCTATTTAGGCTGCAGCTGTTGCTATTATGTTAATAATAATTTTTATCACCACTGTATACAACAGGTTATGGGACAAATAGAAATATCTCTTTGGGGGGGGGTGGTCCCCCCTTGTCATTTCCATGTTTGGATGTCAGAAGGGAAGACTGTAAGAAAATCAAGCAAATTGAGCCCCCAATGCGCACTGTAATTTTCTATTTCTGAACGGATTTGTGAGAGAATGGCTGAGTGAAGTTAGCAGAGCGTCATCCCCCACACAAAGATGGCGCGTGCAGAATTTGTGAGAGCGGAAAGGGGTGTGGAAGGAAGGACAGGCAAGTGGGGACGGAACACTGCAGTGCTGGGGTGGTGAGTGTTTGCGAGGGGGCGGGAGGGGGGGATGCTGCAGCTTCCATGAAATAATAAGGTGGGGGAGAGAGAAGCAATGCAAAGAGTGGGTTTTTCATTGTCTGTAAAATATAAACACAGATGAGTTCTGTCTTTGGTTGGTTCATGCCTTTCATTCAGCACAGCAGGGATGTTCTTAAGAAGTTGCCCTCTGAGAAATTTCACTAAATGGGAACCGTGGACCTGCATGATGGGATTATAATCACACCAGCCACTCCTTTTACATAATTTTTTGTTTAAGATCCAGTAAGACCCCCTTTTTTAAATATATATAAAGCAATAGACATGTATATGTAGATAAACTGAGGGTTCGCGTCACCCCCACCGTAGCCTGGTGCAAGCTGAACAGAAACCGAGGTGATAGCCCCTTCTATAAATCTCAATGGATTCAAAAACAATATGAAAATTTTCAGCTGACAAGAACATGTCTGCTGCCTGCAGTCCCTGCAATAGCTCACCATGTTGCCTACTAACCGAAAGATCAAAAATTATCGATTTCATGGCGCTGTGTGCTCTGGAAAAGAAAAGCTACTTTAACATTTGCATTGTTTAAAGACATCATTTAAAAGAAAAGACTCGCACACACACCCCCACCCCAAACTCTTTGGGATGTGAAAATGGCTTGTTTTCATCTCCCTCATGATTTACTATAATTCTATTATTTTTAGCAGCTGGAGTCCAGAAATGATTTTTTTTCGACGAATTTAGGATTTTGCCGCAGTGTTCATCTGCAGTCCCAGAATCCTCCGGTAAGTTAATCCTTCTTGCGATGGGAAACGCCTTGAACCTTCTTGTGAATAAAATACTTGCAACCATTTTGAAATTTTTAATAGAGGGTCTGTGTGTGTGAGTGCATGTATGTATGTGTATGTGTGTGTGTGTGTATTTTTGCAGGCGTGTAGGCATTGGGGGAGGGAGTTAGGTGTGTCAAAGCATGCTTTCCTGGCACCTAATCGGTATCTATTCTGAGAAATATTAAGAAACATATATACCTCTGTTCCCTTTGCCTGTCACGATGCGTCTCCATTGCTTCCTCACCATGCTTTTGTATGGTAGCCGTTAAAACATGTCTTTAGAACGTAATCCAAGGAAGGCCCGGAGAACACGCAACTTCAAGCGTGAAGGATGGTGCCAGCGTAACTAAAGGACCAGGCCACGGTCACCTCCGTACCCATCACCTCCTGCTACCTTCACGGACTCTCCTTCGCTCTGGAGCTGTACATGGGCTGCCAGAGCCTTCCACAGTGGCTCTCTGCGGAATCCGCCCAGTGGGTTACTAGACGGCTTCTGTGTGGGAGAATACGCCACATGTACTCTGACAAGAGGTATTTACAACTGCTTAGCCTGTTCAACTGGAAATCAACAAAAAGATGACATATCCCTGACACGGTGTTTTACAAATCAAAAGTCTGGATCCATAAATAGCCCACTTGATGAACGTAGACCCGAAAGCCGATTGTGATGTTTTTTGCCTAGTGTTTCCACATTATCATAGAGAAATTATTTTTAACAGGTCTTAGAGAGTCAGTATTGGCTGTTTCTGAGTGCATGGTTCTGCTGGGAAAGGATTTTTCCTTCCCAGGGGGATTGGGATGGAATCCAAAGTGGACCACACCCTAATTTCAGTTTGTTTTCTCTTCCTTTGTGCCTATTGTCAAATGGACCTGACTGACAATTACAGTTTTACTTTAAATGAAGGTGTTAATCAAAAGACGCAGTTGTCGGCTGTCCTCAAAAGGAGGCTCATTGTTTTAGGTATGCAGTAAATGTTTGACTAATGGATTTGTTCGAGCAGAAGGACAGACCAATTCTGGCTTATTAATACTTCTGCATAGAGTGCAAACACAAGCTGAGCGTGTGTGTGTGTGTGTGTGTGTGTGTGTGTTTTAGTGAGTATACTCTAGACTCATGTTCAGTGTATCCAGTATCTATGAGTGGTCTGACTACAGGACAAACACCCCTCCATTTCTCAAAATGAAGTACTTTTTGTCAAACCCATTGGGTTGATCTTGGAAGAAAGGGTGTAAGAGAGAAACCAATTGGCATTTATGTGAACTGTGTTACCTAGGGTCAATTGTTTTAGCAACTAATTTCCTAAAACCACCCCCTCCTTAGCTACTTATATTATTTTCAAATTAGTTCACAGAACCAGCAGGTTTCTTTATTCATCAGGTATTTTGATGTTTTTCTTTCTGGTATAATGTCAGTCATTTGTTTTAATTTCACAGAAATTGTCATCTGTTTTGGTGACAAAAATATGGAATAGTTTTGTTTCAGGAGAGACGTGAACAGAAATCTGGAGAAAGTGTAAAATTCAGCTCACTGGTTTCAAGGCTAGTCACCTGGTAATGTCTCCTGCCGAGTTACACTTGATAGGAAAAGGAGTGTTTGCATTGTGGTAAAATCTGCCTTTTCTCTGAAACATATTCTCTGTGAATTATCAATAGGGATTGAGTCTTCTAATTCTAAGCTGGGATTAAAATGCCGGAATTATATGCTTTATTTTGGCATCTGGCTAGAGAAATATAAATATAAGGGTGTCTTTATCTTTTAGATCTCTCAGTGGTGCAGACATTTCTTAACGGGGTTTTAATAGCATGCCTTTTTTTTTTTAAATCAAAATTGGGACACAGAAAAAGAAGCAAGTGTCAAAAAAAAAAAAGAAAAGAAAAAAAAAGAAAAGAAAATAGGAAAGAAGGAAGGAAGGAAGGAAGGAAACCCCTGACAGAGGTGAAATCAGCTATCTAATTTTAAAAGGAGGACCTTAATCGAGTCGAGCAAATATTCTTTAACTCTACACGTGACAATTAAAATGAGGGGTTGGTAGCTGCAACCACCACTGGTAGAGCTTTGGGAAAATACCTTTTCCTGCCCCATCTCTCTGTGTTATGGCAGGCCAAGCCAGCCCCAGCCAGCAGCAGAGTTTATTCTCCAGAAATCCTAGCAGAGCTGGAGAGGGGAAAGGTCTAGACAAAGGCCCGCACTGAGCAGCTCCTAGGGACTGTGGTGGTTCGCAGTTACAGTGATGTGTCTTTAAGATAGAAAATTGAGTCATTTAAAAAAATAAGCTGGCCCTACAGCACCGGCCCTGCCTCAGTGGATGGGCAGGCTTCCTGCCAGTACCTGCACAGAAGGGCCTATTGTTTACTTGCGTTAATTACAGCGCAGGGATGAAAGAAGGCAATGGGGCAACTTTCGCTGTTGCCATTGTTTGGGAAGAGACGTGAGCTCACAATAATAGTCTGGAGACAGCCAATTCACCCCAACTGCTCCAGTTTTGACAAGTGCCAATCGTGGAGGACAACAATGGGGCCATTTCCAAGAGAAGATCCAACTTCAGCCTATTGTCATGATTCAGAAAAAAAAAATGCTCTCGAAGGATACAAAATTAGTTTTGAAAATTTTAAGAGGTTACCCACAGGTCCTCTCAGCAATACACTCGAGTTTCTCAAACAATATAGTAAAAATTGCAGTCCCTGGAAAACGTTCACATGCCTGGTTCGGTGGACACTGACCCAGTGGGTCCGGGTAAGATGGGGTTTCTACGAATCACGCTGGTGAACCGAGCGGTGGAGCTGAATCTCTTGTTATAGTTAGATGACACTCCTGGGGACTCCACGGCCACCTGGGGTGGGGAGGAAAGGTGGGTGGGCCCCAAGTTCCCTGTCCGGATTCCAGAGGCACAGCAGGAAGGGGAGCGGGACACTCCCGCGAGCGGTGAAGTGTGATGGGGTCCAATGGTGGTTCAGGGGTGTGGCGGCCGGAGAACCGGTGACTACAGCCTCGAACCTGCGCCATCCGTGGCCGCGCTCCACCCGGCCCGCAGAGGCGGCCCGCACTGGATCCCTTTAGTTTCCACTGGAGCGGCGTCGGGACGCCACGCCCCGGTCCGGCCCCTCCCGGCGGCGCACGCGCAGAGCGGCTCGGGCCGGCGGGGACTACTTTCCGCGGCCCGCCCGCGCCCCGCCCCTCGTCCTCGCGCGGCGGAACGCTCCGCGCGGAGCGGCGGCGGCAGGATACACGGTGCCGCGCCGCTTATAAATCGCTCCTTGTGCGGCGCCATCTTAAGCCCTCGCTCGGTGGCGGCCGCGTCAGCTCGTGTCCTGTGTAGCCCGCGGCCCGGGGAGGCGGAGACGGAGCACGGTGGGCGCCGAGCCGTCAGTGCAGGAGGCCGAGGCCGAGCGGGCGGCCCCGAAGGAGCAGCGCGCAGCCCCGAGGTGCGGCGCCACGGCGGGCCGGCTCGCGCCGAGCCAGCGGGAAACTTCGCGGGCCGGGTGGCGGCGGGAGGCCGCGGGGGCGCGCAGGCTGGGGCTGGGACCGGGCGGGCGCGCGCCGGGAGCCCGGATGGACGGCTGGCCGCCGTGGGGGGTGGGGACCGCGGTTCGGGTCCCGGCTGGGGCCGCGGCGGGGGCGGGGTGGGTGGGGGCCCCGCCTCCGTGGCCCGCGGAGCCGGGGGACGCGGGACCTGGCGCGCGTCCCCTCTGTCCCTCGTGGAGCACGCACGGATAATTTTTTTTTCCCTTGCAACGACCTGAGAGTGAGTTTGAATCTAAACAACTTTAAACCCTGGAGTCGCCAAACTTGGATGCAGCGGGCGGGATGAGTCAGGAGCATGCTCTCGGAGGTGGCGTCCTGGACTCGCGTGGGGTCGGTGGCTGCGAGGCCGAAGTCCTGGCGGGAATTTGGGACCGTGGACGGGTCACCGGCCACTCTTGGTGGGGGTGTGTGCGCGGGATCCGAAACCTGGGCTTGGGGGAGGGGACTTCCCCTTAGCCAGTAAGTGTGGGGTCCGCTCCAAGTGTTTCTCCCCAGCCTGTTTGCTTCTGGGCGAGATGGAGTGGCCGGAGCGCGGACCGCCAGGGCGTGGGAGCCTGGCGACTTGTTCTGAGTGTTGTTTGGGGGACCGGACTTGAAACCGACGCTCCCAAGTTCAGTACCCCAGGCCCGCTCCGGTGAGCCCGCTGGCTGCGGGGCAGCTTTGTCTCGGGCTTGGGTCTCCAGACATCTGTGGGCTCCCCTCCCCCGCGCCCCCCGCACCCCCCCTCCCCGGGCCTGAGCTCTGAATGGAGAGCGGCTGGGCTGCTGGTATGCGGAGGTCGGCGAGAGGAAATCGAGGAGTGGTTTTAGTGAAACGAGAGCTTTGTGCCATGAATAATGGTGGCTTAGACCAGACAGCAAGCTCAAGAGACGGCAGCTTTGCCTTTGATAAAGTCTGCCTCATGTTTTTCACATGGCCAAGTTGTGAAGCGTTTTGTCTGGGGTTTAGGAAGCCATTTCGCTTATTTACTTGAGGCTTGCGGAGAATCTCGGTGCAGACTTTCCTCGTCCCGGGAAAGAACTTGCTCTTGGTTCTGATTTAATGCTGCTTAAGCTTGTGGTCTTTGTATTTCGATTTTTGTATGTCGGGCTCAAACTTTATTTGAGTTAAGGCCCACTGTTACATTTAGTTCACTTTCACATTAAACATTGAGAAATCTCTGAATTAAAAAGAAGTTTCTCCAAGAACTCCCTTTCACAGCAGACAACATTGATGACGGTTCAGGGGATCGTCTCATTCTGTGACCTAACCTTTGTCCTGAAGGCCAAGTCTAGACGAGGCCTTTAAGTGGTGGCAGGGAAGTTGGAAAATTGCAGATCTTTCTCTACAACAAACCCTCCCAGGCTGAAGTCCTTGAGGCAGCAGGCTATCTGAAAAGCTTATCTTGCCTGGGACAGAATCCTGGGCCTCTCGGTCTGCAAAAAGACCAGCCTCAACCAGGGAAGCATTTAATCAAATGCAGGTGTGAAGAAAGAGTCCAACTGTCATCTGATCATTTCTCGGAGGTAGTCTAAAGAAGCGGTTCTCGGCCTTCCTGATGCTGCGAACCGTTAAGATAGTTTCTCAACTGTTATGGTGACCCCAACCATGTTATTTCCTTGCTATTTCATAACTAACTTTGTTACTGTTATGAACCATAATGTAAATGTCTCTTTTCCTATGGTCGTGAAAGGGTTGTTGGACCCCTAGATTGAGAGCACTAGTTTAGAGACTGTATATTGGGTATCAGATGTCTGCAGCTTGAAGGGATGTATCTTCTGCTTTAGGGACAATGAGAATAGAAATTGTGAGTGAAGCCTTAGCGCTAGTTTCAGAATGCCACCGCCAAGGGGAGGATGAGAAGCAACTTTAATAGTCTGGAGTGTATTTTGAAATGGGTGCTCAGAAGAACTGGTGGAGCCCTTTTGCAAATAAATGCAGGGCAGAGCATGAAGGAGAGCATGTCCACACTGCAGGTGGGGGGTGGAGTGGGATGTTTACAGATCGTAAACATCTGTTTGCCAGACTTCTAAGCAGGAAGTGGACAGTAAAAGTAGATCGAGTCAAATGAAATACCAGTGCTTGAGGTGAGGTGGTGGCCTCTGCCCATCACCTAGAGGTAAATTTTTAGTGTCCTTGGTCAGAAGCATACCTGAGGGACAAACTCCTGATACAGTGTTCACAAACTTGTAAAAACATTGCAAAGGTACAAACATTTTAACTTGTTGTTGTTGTTGTTTGTGGCTCCTGTCAACTCCTTTGTTATTTATAACAGTCTCACTGATTGCAGCGGAGAGTGAGAGATGAGCCGGAGAGTGAGAGATGAGCCGGAGAGTGAGAGATGAGTGGCTCGCTCGCTTGCTGCTTCAGGGCTCAGGCCCAGGGAGGCAGCCCTGAGGGGGTGCTGTTCAGCACCACCACCCAAGGTGTGAATCACAAGTGTTACACAAAGAAAAGTGATTTGTGTCAATTCAAAGTGAATCAGAACTTCTTTACACTAGGGAGAAGTGTACTGTGTTTACCTAAGAAAGCTTCCTTTGTATTTAATGCAAGACTGAGCATCCCTTGGCTAGGAACCCTGATTTCTCTGCTGGGTAGAACTCTGGAAGAAAGCATCTAATCTTCCAAGCGGTCAAAGGCTTTTTAAAGGAAGTAGGTAGTCCTGCTAGCACTGGTTTGAACTTAGTTGTGTCTCTTTTAAGACACATTTCCCAGGTTCAATTGAGACAGCAGTGCTCTAGTCATGTCGAGCGCCCTCCGGTGGACAGAACAAAGGTCACTTTTCTTTTCTCCGCAAGTTTGTGTGGAATGGATCCTGATGACTCTGTAAGGAGAACCAGTTGTAAAGTACTCCCAGTTAAAAGACTGGCATGGAAGGGTAGCTGCCTCTGTAAGAGAACAGGTGGTCAAAGGCACATATGCTAACAGAATGAGACACCAAATGCTCAGGCGCCTCAGAGTAAAGGATGACGTATAGAGGTGAAATTCTTACATTCCTAATGAAGATCTGTCGCTGTAAATACAAGTGTCATTCCCTCTGGTGAACCAAGCAGTACTGGTGGCAGGAAGGTTGTCTGCCACACTCATTGCTTTCATTCTTACAGACCTTCCTTTCTACCCCTGTGGTAGGTAACGTTCAGTTGCTTCTGAAAAGACTGTTTCAGATCAGCCAGGTTAATAGAGTGAAGCATATTCTGAATAAGTTTTTGAAGTGAAATGGTTGGTTTATGAAAGGATTCTTGAGAGTTTAGATTTTGTTTTTGGATTCTGCTTTTTCAGAAACAGGCCAAAATCAAATAGTGTAGAGACAGTTGGCGATCTGTTTAGCCTTCAGAACTCATGGAAACATGAATACAAATTTCTTTCTTTAAGGGAGCATTGTCACATTTGAGTGTGACTTTTTAAAGATTACATCTCTCTCTTTTTTTTTTTTAAATAATTGTATCATTTCCCCTTCCTGTCCTCCAAACCCTCTCATATACCCTTGCTCTCATTCAAAGTCATGGCCTCTTTGTAAATCGTTGTTATGTGCACATGTGTACACACACACACACACTCTTATTAACTACAACCTTTTTGGTTTGTATGTTTTTAGAGCTGACATTTGATATTGGATAACCAATTGTACTCTTCTCTAGGGAAGACTCTCAGCATTTCTTAGTTGCCTGTGGTTCCTTGTGTATAGACTTGAGGCCTTGTGGTTTGTCTCCCCACTTTAGCATGTCTCTTGTACTATTAACTATCTACCTAAAAATCTATAATATACATAACTATATGTATAAGTATACATATAGTTAACACCCAGTTTTGTCATCTGGACTGACAGTGCTCCCTTCAAATACTGAAGGTAAACAAAACCCCAATACTACACAGGAAAAGTCCTCTTTTGAGTTGTTGGCCAGGTCTGTCCAGTGGACTCCAGAACATAGCTAATAGCCTATTGCTATTACCCTTGGTTGCCCCCAAGAGTTGTAAGGTAAATCCCTATTGCTGAAGAGACCATGCACTTTAGACCAAGGCCCAGAGGATGCCCTCTACCTGATTACTAGTTCTCATGGAACCAGAAGACACAGTACAAGCCTCCAAAGGAGGGAGGCAACCAACAGTCATACCTAGCTATGATGCCTTCAAACCACAACCATGACCAGTGTGGCATGATAAACCCTAAGGGTGTAGTAGTGGAATTGCATACTTTGGGTTAACCAGCAGCTCTCTAATTGGATGTAGAACCGGTTCTACAAGAGGGAAATGCCTGGTGCTGGAAACCTAGCCAACTACCAAAGGCTAGTGAAGCCATGGGTCTTGATGGAGAAGTAGCTTGGGTCCAGCTCTTCATGTTGTCTTAAGTGTTTAAACTCAGTGTGTTAGGTGAATGTTGGAGAAACCCCACAGAGACTGTGTGCATAGTCTGTCAGCTTCTTTAAACTGTTTCCTAGTTTCACTAGAAGCCGCTAAACTGAGTGTATTATTAGGCTAATCCTAACCTTAGGAACAGTGTTGAGGTGGAGGTCAAGTGAGTGTTTTATTTTAGCAGAGCACTATTCTTGGTCTGTTTGTGTTTGTGTGGAAGTGGTCTTTGTTTATATAGCAGAGTTTGGCGGGATTCGGTGCATTGGCCTGGTGTGTCTTGCCCTGCAAGTCACCGCAAAGGGCTGAGGTAGGAGGACAGCCTGCAGTACAGAATGAGACCATGTCAAAACAAACAACGAAAGTACTTCTGAATACAGTGTTGTAGCTGTACTGACGATGTGCACCACATGGGTCTATGCATCTGTCCCAGAACACTCACCTATCCCACAGTCCTGTGTGTCTTCCTGCAGCTGCTGTAAAGGTTCTGGGTTGCTGAGACTATGCAACACTGCACCTAGCTAGGGTCTTGTAGTATTCCAGAGATTTTCCTGGTTGTGGTTTATGAACATT